ACTTATGATTAGTTGCGGTTCTATTTTAGATTATGAAAAATGTCAAAATGTGCTGCAATCTGAAATTGTCGTATATACGAATTCCCATTGGAGTAATGAATCTGGAAGTGTGTAGTAACGGGGTGCACTCCCTTCGCTTTGGGAAGATCACCACAGCTGAGGTACGGTGTCTGATGTGCACATCCGCAGTGGTGCAGTTCGAAGACGGTTCCAGCGAGGGCAACGCCAGTAGTGTCGAAGAGAAGGTACTCCAGTGGCTAAGAGCTTATTTTTCGGGCGACCATCAGCAGGCTATGACGGCTGAGCTTCCGCCGATTTGCGTGCTGAAGAGAAGGGACGGCTTTGCGTTGAAAGTGTTGCAGCGCCTACTGACGATCAAGTTCGGACAAACGGCGTCGTACAGCGAAATGGCGTCTAAGTGTGGTCACAAAAACAGCGCTCGGGCCGTTGGTCGAGTGGTCAGCGAAAATCCCGCGGTTCTGATGATACCGTGTCATCGCGTGATATTAAAATCCGGCAAGGAAGGCCATTTCAGCGGTGGCAAATTGGACGCCTTGAAGAAAGCATTGCTCAGCTACGAAAAAACTACGGTATTTAGCGAAAACAACAGTAAGTTGGTAGATAATGCTAATATGTAAAGATTTATTTTTAAAAAAATCCAATAAAACATTGTGTGACGAATACGACAAACATTTCTCCCTAGTTAACATCAATAAAAAAATTCTATCGTATCCTAAAAATGACTTTCTGCTGACTCGATAAAATCCCATTTTTTCGAACCATTACGATCACCGGTAGAAGCATGGTCAAGAATGATCGCAGCTGTAGCATGCAACTGCTATTATCATTTAAGAACTGGCAGATGATGCCGCTCCACTTACCTCAGCTTAGATACAGCAGTTGCCGTAGAAATACACTAAAGGAGGAAAACTGATCCCGTTCCTTTGTTACCGTCGTAAATGTACGTGTTGTTCAGAAGCACGTACTGTCTAGTGATGATTTTGATCACTTCGTGGGCAGCGACCCCGCCGATGAAAGCCGCCGTGCCGTAGAGTTCCGCGGCGCCGTAGCGACACATCTCTTGAATGAAATCATCACATCGGATTTTCGTCAGACCAAAAGTGTCCAGCAGGTTGTTCAGCCTGAACTTCAGATCGTTCTTGTC